CACCAGAAATCTGGATTAGGGCTCTCATTGGCCCTGCCTGGGTCACATATTGGTTTCTGAACCAATCGCTGTAGTCTGAGGGAATATGGTGTTCTGATTGGCCAAACCTGGGTCACATGCTCACCTCCTATGAGAAAATATTATCAGTGACTCTCAAACTATAAGAATGGGGCATGGGAGAGGGGTCACTCCCCTAAGGAAGGTTAAAGTGCTGTTATCACAAGAAGATTTCTGGTGAAACAGTGTGAGATAATAAATTTTTGTTGTTTCAGTCAGCTAAGTTTTGGAACAATTCATTACACAGCAGAAGATAACTAATATACTGACAAGAAGGTGCCATCTTTTTAAAGTAAAGGATTTTTTTAAACTACCATCTATTAGCATTGTATAAAAAATGATTAAAATCTTTAACTTTTTATTGTGTATGATTTTAACATAAACCAAAGTAGAAAGTGAACCTTATGTACTTATCTACTCAATTCAACAATGATTAACTCACGACCAATCTTATTTCACCAACACCCATCTCCATCTACCCATATCCACCTTAAATTATTTTGAAGGAAATCCCAAACATCAAATCATTTTATCAGTAAATATTTCAGTATACATACATTGATACATAGGTATCTCTAAAAGATAATTACCCCTTTTAAGTATAAATTCAACACAATGATCATATCCCCAAAGACAACAATTTCTAAATACTGTTAAATATCCACTCAGTATTCAAAGGTTTAAAACTTTTTTTACAGTTTGTTTGAATCGGGATCAATTGCTTGACCTGTTTCATATATCTCTTTTAACTATTCACACATTTTTCTTTCTCTTTCTCTCTCTGCCCCTTTTTCATTGCAATTTATTTGCTAAAGAAACTAGTTTGTCTTGTAACATTTCTCATAATCTGGATTTTGTTGATTGCATTCCTGTAATGTCATTTGACATGTTCCTCTGTCCATTGTACGCACATATAATTGTATATAAATTTATTATTTGATTTAAAACAGGATTTCTCAAACTCAGCACCATTGAAATTTTGGACCAAATAATCTCTCACCGTGGTGAGCTGTCCTATGCAGTATAGGATGTTGAGCAGCAACCCTGGCCTCTACCTACTAGATGCTGGTAGCACTCTCCTCCCGCAATTGTGACAACCAAAAGTGTCTCCAGACATTGCCAAATGCCTCCTGGTGGGCAAAATTTTCCCAGTTGAGAGCCACTGATGTAGAGGATTCAAAAGATTCAAGTTCGATTTTGAGGTTTTTTTGGCAGAAGGCAAATTTCACAGGTGGGATGGGCACTTCTGTCATGAGGCACACAATGTACAGATGTCTCTTCTTTTTGTGTTACCAGTTATTGATGATCATTACTAGCTTGATTAATTATTAAAGTTTCCAAAATAGTAACATTCTAATTTGACTATTTCTTCTTCAGTTACTAGCTGGAAATTTCTATAAAGAGAACCTTCTTCTCATTAACTATTTGGTTACCTAAGGTATAGTTCATAGAGAAAGGCAAAAATCTCTGTTTCTTTTCCTTTATCTACCTGTTTTCAAAATAAAGAGTTCTGCAAAGGCGTCCTTTGGAAATTTTTGGATGTGTGAGTCTTTATGAGCCCATCAATTTAAAAATATTTCATATGTTTCAATCCATTGCAGTTAGTATTAGTAATTATGTTCAAATCATCCTCTCTCTCCAGAAGGAGACTCTTCAATTTAGTTGATAAGCTTTTTTGAATGAGTCCAATATTCCCTGATAACTGCCTTGCTTTTTTGAATGACATGATGTCCAGGCTCAAATCATATTTTCTGTCCCTAATCTGAAATCAGCCATTTTTCCAAGAAGTTCTGATTTCTTTTAGTGGGAAGTGGTAATTAGAGACCATAATCTGGGTGCTCTTTGCTACTTTGTCCTTATTGCAAGGCCTTTTCCATAGAAAAGCTGGAAATACTTTCTCTCTTTTTTTTTTAAGATAAAATATACTGTGGTACTTTCAACTCAAATTCAGGATTCAAGGTGTTTAAATTAACCTCACTGTTCTTACATTTGTATCTCTTTCTCTCATGCCAAAAATCCTAGTTCCCAGTGACCCCCAAATAATTAATCATTTCCTTTATCCCACAAAACACAAAAATAGTCTTGGAACAACAATACTAACACTACCACCAATAATATGATTACAGAAAATAGTTTACAGGTTTTTTTGTCCTTAAAGTATTATCA